ATCGATTGAATTCGGGAGACCCGGATTAAGCCGGGCTGAATTTGACTATACCGGTCCTTATGAACCACTTGTACTGTCATCAATCGGAGAAATTCCGATCATACAGGTTATTACCGTGCTCCTACACCTGTTTTCTGACGAAAGTCTTAGCCTTTGCTTATGTCTAATGGAACCCAAGTGCTAAAATCTTGGAATTATTTGAGTTTCTGTTGAGAATTGTGTGGGTCGTTGTGATTTGGTGTAGGTACCGGCTTCTATCAACTGTAGATTGCTTGAACATCAACGAGAGGGAGTAAAGTTTCTGTACAATCTCTACAAAAACAACCATGGAGGGATTCTTGGCGATGACATGTGAGTTTTTTTCTTTCTTGTGTTACAATAGTATTGGCTCTGGTTTTGAGTGTTGTTGAGAATGGTATTGTGCATTTGAAGTTATACCTGTAACTGTAATAGTTGTTGTTCAGGGGATTAGGCAAGACCATACAAACAATTGCATTTCTTGCTGGAGTATATGGAAAAGACGGTGACGCTGGTGATAAGTCTGTTTTGGAGTCTGAAATGGGTCCTGTACTGATAATCTGCCCGTCTTCGGTTATTCACAACTGGGAGAGTGAGTTTTCCCGATGGGCGAGCTTCTTCAAGGTTTCTGTGTACCATGGAGCAAATCGAGATATGATTCTTGAGAAACTCCGTGCACGTGGTGTAGAGTTACTTGTAACCAGCTTCGATACGTTCAGAATCCAAGGTCCTGTTTTGTCAGGGATTAATTGGGAGATAGTGATTGCCGATGAGGCACACCGGTTAAAGAATGAAAAATCGAAACTTTATGAAGCATGCCTTGAGATCAAGACGAAGAAAAGGATTGGTCTCACTGGTACAGTGATGCAGAACAAGATCTCTGAGCTATTCAACCTTTTTGACTGGGTAGCACCAGGATCACTAGGAACTCGCGAACATTTTCGAGAATTCTACGATGAACCGCTAAAGCAAGGGCAGAGAGCGACTGCCCCGGAAAGATTTGTCCAGATTGCAGATAAGAGGAAACAGCATTTGGTCAGTGTTCTGCGTAAGTATATGTTGAGGAGGACAAAGGAGGAAACCATTGGGCATCTGATGATGGGGAAAGAAGATAATGTAGTCTTCTGTCAAATGAGCGAATTGCAGAAACGAGTTTATCAAAGAATGCTGCAACTCCCAGAAATTCAGTGCCTTGTGAATAAGGATAATCCGTGCGCTTGTGGAAGCCCGCTTAAGCAGTCAGAGTGCTGCGGAAGGATCGTTCCTGATGGACCTATCTGGAGTTACCTTCATAGAGATAATCCTGATGGCTGTGATTCTTGTCCCTTCTGCTTGGTGCTCCCATGCCTTGTGAAGCTTCAGCAGATAAGCAATCATCTAGAGCTTGTTAAACCAAACCCAAAAGATGAGCCAGAGAAACAGAAGAAGGATGCAGAGTTTGTATCTGCGGTGTTTGGTACAGATATCGATCTAGTAGGTGGTATTTCCGCGAGCGAGAGCTTCATGGACCTTAGTGATGTTACACATTGTGGGAAAATGAGAGCTTTAGAGAAGTTGATGGCTTCTTGGATTTCAAAGGGTGATAAGATACTTCTATTCAGTTACTCTGTCAGGTTAGTTATTGTATTTAGAGAAGTTGATGGCTTCTTGGATTTCAAAGGGCGATAAATGTAGGAGGAATATTGTCGTAATAAGCTTTTGTTGTTCCACTGCATTACAGGATGTTGGATATACTGGAGAAGTTTCTAATAAGAAAAGGTTACAGCTTTGCAAGACTTGATGGTTCTACTCCAACTAATCTGCGACAGTCTCTGGTAGACGACTTCAACGCAAGTCCGAGCAAACAGGTTCCTTTTAACTGGACCATATTCGAAAGAGATTTGCTTTCTTCTTACCTACTTGTGATCTGATGACTAAGTGAGCTTTTTGTATGTTAGGTTTTTCTGATATCAACTAGAGCTGGTGGGTTAGGACTAAACCTTGTGAGCGCGAACCGTGTGGTTATATTTGATCCAAATTGGAACCCATCTCATGACTTGCAAGCGCAAGATAGATCATTTCGTTATGGACAGAAACGCCATGTGGTGGTTTTCCGCTTGTTGGCTGCTGGTTCCCTTGAGGAATTAGTTTATACAAGACAAGTATACAAACAACAGCTCTCAAACATTGCGGTGGCTGGGAAAATGGAGACGAGGTACTTTGAAGGCGTCCAGGTTTGTAAATGTGTATAATCTTAATCGTTAGTTTCATTAAGAGATGGATCTCTTCTAATGCTATGATGCGTATGATAATCAGGACTGCAAAGAGTTCCAAGGCGAGCTATTCGGGATTTCAAATCTGTTCCGTGATCTCTCTGATAAGCTCTTCACTAGCAAGATCGTTGAGATGCATAAGGATAGTAACTTCCACGTGAAGAAGAGATCATTGCTTGAGACAGGTATTTC